TGAACTCAGTATTTCAAAATGCCACAGGCAATAGAGAAATCAGGGTTCTTCCTTTCTATTACTGTGCAGTCCTATGTCGATAATTATGAATCCATATGAATATATAAGTCCCTATACTTATACGCGAACAAGCATGTATCTTTATAAATATTCATATATGAATAAATCCAAACATGCTGGTATAGATATCAATGGAGAAGTATATATAGGGATATGGGCATATACCATATAGAATAATGTGGTGAGAAACATGACATCAACCAGAGAGAAATTAAAGCAAGAATCAAATAATGGAATTCCGAATTTTCGAAAGAATTTTTAGGATAAGCTCTCTATTATTATGGTTTTCGTACGATAACGGCATCGTAAGTATCAGATGTCCCCTATTAATAGAGAAAAGTTATTCCTTCCTCATTATGGAAGGAAAGATTTTATCATACTTATAAGAAATGATGACATCGTCTTGCATGATTTACCATCATCCTGCACATAATTTATCATTGGAGGCATCAGGCCATGGACATATAACAACCACTAATAACACTACTGGCACTGTTTGCCTCAGGAATACTAGGCTATTATTGACACATGTTCAGAAACACTTGAAAATAGTATATGCTTCAGGATATTCTCTCGGATGAGATTATACATATATCCTGAAAAATAAAGGCAATATTGACAGATCCTGTAAAGAGACTTTGTTACAGGATTTTCAGAAACGAAGTCTCACACGTACTTGGGGTATTTTAGATAGGCGCAGGCCGGCGCACACTATACAGCAACTCACAGATAATGAAGCAATAAGGTGTGGAAGCTCTAAAGGAGGATTATCAGGGGATGTTAAGCCGCGTAATTCTCTTTTACATGACATAGGAAACATACACATCGTTATGATTACAGATAATATGAACATTCTACGACGCATTCTTCAGAAGATTAGATACATAGAACAAAGCCTCCTAATTACCGGAATCACCATTATCATAGAATATCATAGAGAATTAAGTGTGGCTGTCCAGGAGACTTTATCAATGAGAAATACAACATTCAGCAACGAAGTAAAACTTCAGGCAAAATATCTCCTGAACCTCCAAGGGGAAATGCGGAAAATCCATACGATACAGCAGCAACTGAAGGAAGGAATCTTAGTAACTATCGCAATACTCAAAATCCGGAATCATCAGCAAGGATTCGGGGAAATCGGTACTATAATGCTGAAGCAATACAACGCCGTCATCAATTCGGTGTGTGATCCAATACGTAAGATCACGGCGGCAGAAATAATACATACATGTCGAACAATTCTACATCGTCCCGCCTCGTCCTTATCATATAAGGCATACAGTTCCGTACGGAGGGGTAAACACCATCCGCATATTACGAGGAGTGAGTACTCGCTACTGGGGATTGAAGTATATCGTCTGATGCTCCTTTTACCGATGCTGGTTGCATTCACACTGGAAGTATTATCGTTATTACTAGGCATCCCATTGAAAGTTGTCCTTTCTGTATCTTATGGACTCTTTGCCTTAGGCGTCATAGGATATCTCTATGTGATTCTGAAAGTATCCGAATATGGACAGACATTAGATGGTATCAGTAAGCCTCGTTTTAAGGATTGTATATGAAGTGTGGAGAAATACATGTGAGAGAAGATCTCCGCAGCTTCTTCCATCACAGTAACTGATTATTATTGGATGCTATGTTGTACCGATGGCGGGGGTTCTCTATCGCTGCAGTGTGATCGTAACTCGCATAACCGGTTTTTGAATTGAGCAATTAGTCCTTTCTTATTTGTTCTAGTGTTATCTGCATCACATTTCTACTGTCTCTCGTATCGTAACATGTTATCCTGTCTTCAGTAAGTTCCTTCTTATAGTTTTACTTTAATATGGTGGTTATAAAACCGTTCCTGTGGTATGTAAAATTATAAGTAAAGAGCCCCCAGCTTATAGGTGCCCTGGATATCTTCCGAATGTTGAAAACTTATATAGCTATATGGATGCATCAAAACTTAACGCCAATACATCTCCTGGAATCAGAGTCTGGTATAGGAAGCTAAAATGGCTATATAATTTATTCTTGTCTTAACGACAAGTGTTTTTTTCTCTTTTCTGGCGTCTACTTTCTTGAAGCTGATCAGTAGTATGTTTCATGTCTACCAAAAAGAAACTCACTGGTGGCATTTTATTAGCTTCTAAAAATCACAATCTTGTTGTCTTCAAAGATGCAGATCAGGAAAATTCAAGAGGGATTTCTATAAGGGGTTATCAGTGGAATTATTATATGCCTTCCTTCATGTGTATCACACGCTCTGTTTCTGTTTTCACTTCTTTTTTGGCTCCGTGCTTTTCATTCTCCAGATATTTTATCTTTTCTCACGAGGTTGATATTAGGGAGGACATGTAACTTTCTTTTTAATCTCCGTTTTAGTGACATCAAGAGAGATTTTTTAATTCAGTTGTCTGCATTCGGCAATGTGACCTTCCATTCCTCTTCTTTTGTATTTTTTCTACTCTGTGTTAAAGGAGATGAGGAAAAGGATGAGGGTGTAGACACGTATTATAAGCATTCTCACATTGGATGCATTAATACAACGATATGTAATCGGGAATGATTCTCATATGGCTCCATAAATATCTTTTACATCATTATAATTTCTTCGGAATATTTATGATTTCATTTGTAAGCGTCACCCTCCAGTCACTGTTAGGGGCATTAAACCCCACAAGACAGGATCGTGTGCACAACACCTAAGATACAGACGCGTTCTCTTTCGATTTTTTTATTATTTGGCCTCTGTTTCTTCCTTAGAGAAGTAGCTGGCCTATATAGTCAGAAATGATTTCATATACGATAAAGAACATGTCGCTGTTACCTGTGCTATTAGTTGAATTGAGGGGGAAATGGCAGACTCCACACTGTGTATAGAGCAGGCAGAGCTAGGAGCGAAACGATTCAATGATCAATTAGAGAGCAGATATTAAGACATACAGGTGCAAGAATCCCATGATGACTACTTCATGAGGCCAATCCTCAACTTAAGTTGGAAGAAAAAGCAGGAAGAGTTCTCTGAGCTAAAGCGGGCATCCTGTTTATGCATAGGCCGCGCCAAATGATATTGAGAAAGAACATGCGACCCTCCAGCGGGGAAATGTTCGATACCGCACTTCCATTGTGCCACTATGCACATCGTGTACTGAACTATACTTCTCACTATAGGGTCTCTTCAGCCGCATCATCTCTTACCACTTCCTTGTATAAAGAGATGTTGATGACAGAACACATGTTCCCTGTGTGTCTTCCTCAAAGATGCATTACTTACTACGGTGAATTCGTATTTAGCTGTTAATGCTGCCTATCTAGGTCCTATATGTCTTTTCTATTTTCTTTGCTAGACCGCACAAATCGGACAGATAGAATCATGGTTTATTTAGACAATTCCTTTCTCTTAATCACTCCTATTTGTTCAATGCCAGACCCTTATTATTATAATGTGTATAACAATCTCCTGATAAGATATATTTCGCCTTTAAATTATGTGCGAAATTTAAACTGTGGATTCAGGCGAGGACAGATATCACCCAGGCACAATCGCCTAACTGTCCCCCCCGAGATTGCAGAAGGAATCGACGGGAGAACATGTAATAGTGGCGTTCTGAAGACAGTCGAGGTCGAAAGTAAATTTCTCTCCATGGAGGAAAATTAGGAGGGGGGGGAGGGGTTCCGTAGATATATACATATATATAATATCTATACCGCCGTCTGAGCAAGGAACATGAGAGGGGAAAAACTGCAATAATCATGTATCTACAGAAGAAATATGTTTTTACCAAATTTCGCCACAACAATACCTAAGATTCTTCTTCTTATGAGATAATCATGTCGCATATTCTTCTTCACCTTATGTATACCTTATCAGGTGCGCACAGTTAATAATAGAGGATGAATCTCATTTTATAGGAGGAGAAGTATGGAAACAAAGGAAGAGAGCGGAGAACCACCCTCCTCCATATTGCAGAAATATTATTATATTTGTACATAATAATTCATTGAGGAAGGCAGAGTTTTAGTGGTTCACAACAGTTCAGCGCCGAATCCTTTTAAATAGAAGAAAAATTGCTTCACAGAGACGGATCATAACTAGGATGACCGGGGAGTTTAGTAAAATTCGGTACATAACCCGGGAGTCTCCTAGAGAAAGAGATATATATTGTTCTATTCAACTAACGGTCGAATTCTTGTATGTTTATTTCAAAAATTTCCTTGGAGGAAATATAGCCACCTCATCTTGTTCTTTTATTTCCTCTTTTTCTCGTAGAAGAGTACAAATACTATGTCACAGAATAAGAATCGGTTCCAATGATCTTCCTAAACAATGGATAAATTATTTTTCATTCATGGCCCTATGGAGTTTATAAGTACATTTCCCTGCTCGCTGGATTACAATATGTTTAGTTATTTTTTATTTGAAAAATGGTTACTCAAATTAAGTAAGGCAGTGGACTTCGAGAGATACACACGCTTCTAAGTCAGAAATAACAGCTAATCAATAAACCGTAGAAAGTGAAAGATAAAAGTATAAACCCTGAGGCTAATAAGTGCAATCTGAAGCAATAGGCCAGTTCAACTTTGACCCTAAACGAGAAATCACAAAAGATGCGAGAAGTCCGTAAAACCTGACCCGGCACCCCAATGCAACCAAGGATACGCCCAATACTTAAACCTCAGAGAAAAATCTTGCACTGTGCTCCATACAGCCTAATAGCCGAAGCGTTCAACAGAGCCTATACAGCCTAAGAGTATCAAGTGGACATCAAGACTAACCAGAGATCTATAGAAATAACCAAAACCCCGACAGGTCAAATATGATGAATCATAAACAATAAAAATAGAAACGAGCCAAACATCAACAGGGGGATGAAATAACTAGGAAAGATGACTGATGGACGGAACCCCAGCATCCGGAACAATAACGGATAAAACCTGGGAACTAGAAGGTTGAAACTATGCACGATGAACTAAATCGGAACAACTGAAAAGAAAAAGACACAACTGAGAGAATAAAACATGAAGGCACCAAACTGGAAACTAACGTCTAACATATACACCATCGACCCAAAACACTAAGCAAAGAATCCTAAAGCTGAAAACTGGGACCATGGGTCCTAAACTTCAACCTAGAAAGCGTAAAGGATCCCACATAAACCTTGAAAGCATAGCAACTAAACGCTTAAACTACACCCAAGGAGTACAAGAAGAAGAATAAGACACTGAGCCTTAAACCCTGAACTAGAGACGATAAACCCGACCCCGTAGACCTAAACAGTGAGCCCTGGGACCTAAACCCTAAATGCTAGTCCTTGAAACTAAAGAGGGAATCCCTTCAAGGTGAATGCTCACCCCTGAAAAGTGAGCCTGGACAATGGAAAGTAGATCCTAAATCCTAGCCCCTAAGTCAAAAACCTGGACCCTAAGCTCTAAAGACTAAAACGTAACCGTTCAAACCTAAGCCGTGACATGTAGACCCCTAAATGTGAATCATAAGCCCTGAACTCAAAACCCAAAAGCGCTGAAGCAGAAACCGTGAAAACCTGAAACATAAACATAAACCGTACCCCATGAACCGTAAAACCGAGAAATAACGACTAGACAATAGACCCTAAAACCTACACCCAACACAATAAGCCTTAAGGCCGGTGAGAAATGGAACCTGATCCCTGAATCGTGAGACCATAGACGCTAGACAATAGACCCTGACTCATAAATCATCAATAGTAAACCTAAAGCCTGGACTCAAAACTCTAAACAACAAGACTAAACATAAACCATAATTCAACAAAACCAGACGGTAAAAAAAATACCGTAAGAGCTAGACCTACTGTATAAACACTACACCGTCAACCTTAAACCCTGAACCCTAAACTCTAAACCCCAAAACATAAAACCTAAAATATAGAAAGTACAACAAAAACCCTAAACCCTAAAGGCAAAACCGTAAATAATGGACCATGGATCCTCCAAATAAATCATGAACCATGAGACCCTAATGCCTAAGCCCTGACACCTAAACCTGAAAAAAACCAGCTAAGGAGTAAAGCGTAGGCATAATCCCCGACCTAACCTTACGCCCTAAACTCGTGAACCGAAACCCATAAACCATGAGCCCTAAAGCCTAAGCGCTAAAAGCTAACAACTGAACCCTGAACCCTGAACCCCCAACCCTAGGCCATGAGTCATGAACCGAAAATTCCAGCCCCAGACGTAAAAAGTGAGCCCAATCCCCCAGGGACTTAACCATAGACCCTGACCCCCACACCCGTAAGGCAATCGCCTTGACGCTCAGGCCAATAATCTCGGAATGGCATAGTAAGACTCCAAAATCTTGGACTCCCTCCCATACAAAAATTGCTAAAACTCACATCAGGCAATTGCCGGAAATATACCCTTCCATCTCTACACCTCTCTGCTCCCTGAACCTATCCTCCACTTTGCCCTACGGAAGGAATAACCATCCCACGACCCTAAATCCGCAGAGGAAATTGTGCCCCCTCTTAAATTCCGTCTCCTCAGCCCCCTTCTCTTCCCTGATATACGGTGAAGCCCATAGGCAGCCATAGCTGCCAGAAGTACGGCGGCTATTCCCCCCCCTATAAAACCTCCAAAATCACCCACATTTCCTCCGAAGCTAACTTTCCCTTCTTGGTCCTGGCTGGAATTTATAGACTGCTCATTAACTTGCTCCCCATCCACTGGTCCGAGTGATCCTGAAGAACCTGTGTGTAACGGATCTAATCCTGAGACTATTCCAGAGGAACTCCCACCTTGTGCTTCTGGAACCCCTCCGACGCCTGAATCTAACGTCGTACCCTCCGGCTCTGGAGACGGTCTTGACTGCATCCCACCTGTTGAAATGAGAACGCCTGAGTTCAATTCTTCATCACACCACCCTGCATGACAGTGACCTGTAGTGACGCTTTCTTGGGGAATTTTCCTACATCCCACGTTCTTTTCTGCTTTGTCATCTCCCACTACTAGTTGCTGTAGAACATCGAAGAAATCAGTCCCACTCATAGTATATCCCTGTGAAGACCAAGCCCCTTGGCTTCCACTAGTAAACCAATCACTCATTATTTTATCCCTGAGACTAGGGCCGCCCCAATCCTCCAATCTACTAGACACTCTCCCACAGGCGCCCTGTTGGTTCTTCAATATTGGACTTCCTTTCAAGCCTTGACTTACTCCGAAGGAAGATATTATTATCTGGACTATATCCACACATGCTCTTAAACTCTTCGCATCAGCCTGCGCCCAAGAATTCTCCTGGTTGTCGCCCCAAACTATCCACCTCAAATTGCTCCTGTCTGTACTGCATCTGGCTCCGGGTTTGGGATTCCCGTATCCTCGATTAGTAGCGTTGGGACTACATTTGCCCTGCTTAACCAAAATTGGTCGTGTTCCTCCCTGGACTTCTAACTCAGAAGCCCATATTTCTAGAGCAATACAGAAGTCCTTAGCTTTCTTCATTATTTGTTCGGAATTTTCATACTCTGGTGCTGATATCACTTCGGAGCTCCATTTAATATTCCGGTCTTGGCTTCGAGTCTCCTGTTTTATATCCTGTAACGTCCATTTTACTTCTTTGGTTGTTTGTTCTTTTGGAGTTGACCCCTTGGTGGATATTAATTGGTTCAGATACTGAGGAAAGGAAAAAAACCCCGCCATGACCTTCAACTATTCCACTTCCTTCTCTCGGTTTTCCTGAATTATGTTCCGCTACTTCTCTACATCCGCTTCCTAATGTTCTTAAGCTCCATCGTATAAAGAGACCCCTAAGATGTTGTTTCAGAAGTTCATAATAAAGCTGGAGGATTTCTGAAATATGAATGAACAGGTTTATACCGAAGTTTCACTAAACAATAAATTATTAACCATTCGTCATTATCCGAAATTGGTCAAGCACTCTCCACTTAACCTCTCATCTATCTTCTCCACTTCGAAGTATTATAATCTCCAATTGCCCTTTAGATTCTTGCATCCCTTAATAGACTTAGTTAAGGCTTGTAGATAAGCGCCTTTGAGTGGACTTAAGCTCGTGCGACGGTCTCCTTTCCTGGAGCATACGAGAATTGAACTCCGCTAATCTGACTGAGAGGTCTCCTATTGATTACTTCTGGAAGCACCCTATCTAGTAGCTTCATGACTGGTTCTTGTGATTGTAAGGATTTTCAATCTCGTCTTCAATCTTTCAAATGTTAATATTCCATGTCCTGCAAAAAGATCAGAGAGTGAGATACTTCTTGTTGGTGTTAAGAGGCTTTTTTCTTTTGAGCGAATAGAAGTCTCATCCAGGAACCTTTCTCGGATCAGTGATAACTCCTCTCCCCCTTAACACCTCCCTAATTCAGTATGACTTATGCCTATATAACTTGGCTGTATTCCCCTAGATAATCTATACTCCTGTTAAAGGAATAGTCAAGGAAACCTCTTCATTTGGTACTGGAGATTTTATGTCTTCAGTTTACTCTTCCCTTGACCATCTCTTCTCCTTAGGGTTGGCGTAACGTCCAAATAAAAGCCTCCGGATGTAGAATGAATGTTCTCAATTAGATTTCATTCAAAAGAATCCCTAACATCAAATTGTACTCCAAATACATCGGTCCAGTTCAGGACATATTAGGATATCATAATTTCTAAGGCCATAAACTATTTCGCTTCTCAACCTTGGCTAAATCGGCCCTAGCCCTGATGAAGAAGAAATTTAGGCGAGACTAATCATGACTTTCGTTATCCTCGGCAGGAGAATCTCCTTTTCCCTCTCCTGTTCAGTCTCTCCTGCTCCCACGTCCTGGCCACAATGTAAAGGAATCCTTCTGTAATGTTTACTCGTCTTGATCTTACTCCCGGGAGAATGCTCTCAGATTAGTCACTTCAGACCTGCTTCTCATATTATATCTGCATCTTCGTTTGGACTCCTTGATTTCAGATTCATTTTCCCTGCTAAATAAGACGTCGGAGGCCTCACTTCTATCCTGGTCCTAATTCATCTGCTACTTCGTGATGAATTAGAGTTCTCAATGGCCCTCCTGTATCGGCCTCCATTACTGTACATCTCACCAAAGAGTGAGTCGTGGGGCTAGGGAATTCTGCACCTCAATAGATCTCAACTTGCATTAGGTTGTATATGCATTGAACCTCTATCATCTCAGCTTCAGAGTACTTAGAGATGAAATCACTCCTAACCTCCCGTAACTTCTCCCTTACTTTGAGCAACTTCCATGGGGGAAAGATGTTGATGAAATCCTTTTCTTGCCGAGTTCCTAGGATTTTATGATGATTCATTCTTGATCAAAGTTATTTCTTAGCTCCTCCCTTCCTTCTATGCCCCTGGCTGCTTCATTATGTTCGGCATATTTCGGCTTCTGCTCTTTCCTTATTTGTCCTTTATTTAAAGTGGGGGGGGGCTAGTGTGGCGCAGAATTGAGACTTTTGGGCATTCAGTATATTTGTCGTCTACTTCTTTGGGATGATAATTGGTGATTTTGCCACGCCTCCGCCTGCTGAAACATGGACCTGTACTTCTCGGAAGATACTCCGACTTTATCTCCAGAGTTGGATTCCTTGAGTTCTGGAGTACCATTCATCGTAGGGTTGGGGTTCTTGAGATATAATTGGGTACCAGGTTGTCCTGGGGTTTGCTCCTTCTTTAGTGTTTTATTCCGAACGTATCTGGAATCTCTGATAGAGAATTATAGCCTACCTGGAGATTTACTCTATCATCCTGCTAGTGTTTCCTTTCACATATTCTGTACCTCATGATGAAATTTGGATAGTCTTCATCAAAGGTTTCCTCTGACTGAATTTATGAGAAGAGGAGATGTGAGATTACTTGTCCATCCTTAAGCAGCTTAGGACTTCTTGTTCATCTTTAGCTTGCCTCTCGCCTGGAACAAGACGGGGACGAAGTAAAGTTGGAGTTTGATCCTCGGTTCCCTCTGGAACGTTTTCTTAACCTCCGATTTGGCACTGCTGCCCTCTGTTTTAGAGGTGGTTCCGCTGAGTTCACCTGTTTGAAGGATTCGGATTCTTATCCTGGGATCTCAGAATATTCGGTGGTTGATTGTTTCATCTCCTGGCCGTTGTAGGACTGTTGCGTCCGGGCACCTAATATTTCATGTGCTGTTCCTCTGGAGTCTCCTCCACTGAGCTTTAAACTTTTTCTCCCTTAATTGTCGGTCCTGTAAGGGACTTTATTTTTTCCTCTTTCTCATATTCACTCTTTTCTTGTGTTCATGCCAGGGAATCCTCATCTAATCTGAGACGTAATACGAGATGACTCCTCTTAATTATCATCATCTCCAAATTCCTCGGTTCCTTGAGACTACCTATGCCGCCTGGGATTCCTGACTTATTTAGGTTCTGAGAAACTTTTACTTGAGTTGTCTTCAGATTGTTTCTTAACACCCACTTCCCTTTTGTTCTATTAACTTGCTCTTCGAGGCCAAATTGAACCCTGTCCTGGATGTCTCACCTCGGATTTATCTTGCTCTACTGCTTATCCTTATGATTTGTAGGACTTACTTGGACTTGTGCTACCTCCTATTTCATACTGTTCGGCCACTCTACAGAACTTTTACTGAGGTTTATTTTTCTTCTCAACTTAAACTCTTCTGGAGGATTGTCCCTTTTATCGTCATTCAGGACAGATTCGGAAAGAGAGACAATACATTACTGAGTTGTTGAGGCCTCTCTCTAGCAGAAATTTATTGTCTTGGGAATTCTGAGTTATCATTCCTCATATTTGTCCTTCCTATTGTCCAGTTAATCTGAGAAAGAAGAATTTGGCTACGGAGGGATTCCTCTAATTGGAGAGAAATCGGTCCTTGGGGATTTTTCCACGGGCCTATTGCGATTATGTTCCTTCTTCGTAAAGATGAGCCCGTTAGGATCTGATTGAGGTAGGTGGGATTCCCTACCTCTTTTGACTCCTGGGTCGAGTGGCGTGTATGTTGGGGAGAGCGGCTCTTCGCCTGTATCTTAGTTAAATCTTCTCTATCTGAGGGTTCTTTCAAGATCAGTCGTAATCGGGTTTCTCTAATACGAAGTCCATTTGCTCCATCCTTCGTACTGTGCCCTTATGCTCCCCCATTTAAGCCCCCTGCCTGTGCTCACGGGGGTTGGCGAGGGGCCCGTCTAATGTCTTTTTAAATTCTAGGCCTTCCCACTTCCTTTGGAGTTGAGATTTATTTTCTGTTGTATTTCTTCTTAAGGAGACTTAGAGCTCCTCACATCCTTTATAGCACGTGATTGTTCCTGTTCTTCTTAGAGGATATCTCAGCTTGACGTTCTGGGTTGAAGCTTCCTGTTTTGTTCTGGGGTCATGCTAGGTGGGGCGGCGGTTGGTTCCTAGGTGTTGATTTTCATCTCATCATAGTTCCCCCTGGGTGTTGAAAGATCTCTCTATTGTTTCCTCTGACTGTGTTTTGCTTTAATGTGATCCTAATGAAGTCTTATACCCGAGGAGTCCCAGGGGATTTTTTTTGTTGGTTAGGAGTTCTGTATTCTTTGGAGGACTTCCCTCAATGCAGTTGGAACCGCTGGTGTGCCGCCTGCTCCTTGTTCCTACTTAGGGAAGTTTTCCTTGTGGGAGCTTCCTTATGAGGACTTTGCTTTTTTAATATTGTCTGCGGCCCTGATACTTCAATACTCTCTATTCTATTGCTTGCGATTCTTTTGAGAGACTCCTGCATTGGCTATTCAAATGGTCCCCTACGCTTCGTTTGGGGTGCATGTTCGTTTGTGGGCTGTAGTTCCCAGAAGATTCTTCGGTGTTCAGACTTTGGTCCGTTTTGCCTCTTCTTCTGCGTCCTTTTGCTATGATTCTCTTCTTTTCTTCTGCCCTGGTCTGTTGTGAACTAAGCTCACTCCGTCCTTTCCTTTGGACTCAAAAGTTTCCTGAGTTAGCTCGGGTGTCTTAACTTTTGCTCTTGGATGTTTGGCCTTGAACTAGGGTTTAGAATCCGCTGTTATGTTATGATTGGTACTTTTACCTATACGGTGGGTTGTTTAGTTGTCCTCAATTACTATTGTTAAGACCTGTCTTTGTTGGGGGTGTTGTGGAATCGCATTGAACTTATTCTAATATTATTATTCATCTATGAGGACGAGTAGTCCCTAAAGAATTTCTCCCATTGGATACTATTCTTCAAACTAGCGAAGATTTCTACTGGTATTAGATCGGCTTGCTCGGAATTAATCTCCTCCGGTTGTAGGGCGCCGGAGTTTGTCCTTGATGAGGTGGGTTGTTAGAATCGATATTTCTTCGACTTCAGGATTTAGAGTTATCTTCCTGCCATTTCCTGCCTTGGGGAATCATTGGGCCAATTTTTCCTAAGACACTTTTTATAGTATCCTTCTATTGAAGTCCCGCAGTGGAGTTAACACTTTGGCATATTCAGGTCGTCTCTTTTCTTGGGCCGGTATGGTGGTGCCTCATTCGATCTGGATTTTTGGATTGATAACTACTTGGGGGGGCCCCGTGTGGTGTCCTTGTTTGGATTGATAACTACCTTGGGGTGCGCCATTATTATCTTATTTTCCGGTTTTCTTAGGTTGAAGGGCTTGACTTGTGGGGTCCTCTATGCCAATGACTTGGAGAGGATGCCGTCCAATCGGTTCTCGGTAGACACTTGTTTGGGGAGACTTTTTCGCCGCGGATACTGTAGGGTATGATTTCTAGCAACTTTCTATAGAATTTCCTTCTGGTTAATCTTGTCTTCGGCTTAAAGAGTCTCTTACCTCTTCTGTGCATCGTTACGTGCCCTTGGTTTAGTCCGCTGCCGTCCTTATTTCCTTCATTACTAGTCCCTGTTCTCCAGGACTAGTTGGCTGTTTGGTTGGAATTTGACATAGATTGGGATTGCCTGTTGACAGAGGTTGTTGTTGGTTTGTATGTTCTTCATCTTCGAGATCATACTTCTGTGATATTTTCTCTCCCTGTTCTTATCCTCCTAGACTTGTTGAAGCTTTGGACTCTGGGAGATTCTTCGTTCTACTTCCATTGACGGAGGTATTAGAATTAGGTGGTTTCAACATTGCATCCACGCCTCGGGTCATTAGGGCTGTTGGCTCTTTTAGGGCTTTTGGGAATAATTGATATACTGCCATGAAGTCTGCATTATTCTTCTTAATTTTTGGGTGTTTCCGTCGGGCGCATATTCTTCCTGTTGTTGGAATCTTTTCCTCCCCTGTTGTTCTCGACTAGTCCCTAAAGGTAATCTAGAATCTGCACACTCACTCTGAGTAGGTGCCTGGGTTCCCCCTCAGTTAATTCCCACCTTCTTCTAAATATTCGGGCGCGCTGCCTTTTGCATGGGAATCCTACTCCTCCTTCTGGGTCATCCCTACTGTTGTTTGATCCGTAGGAGCTCTCTCTTAAGGGGGGGTGCAACTCCGTATCCTCGTCGACTGATGTCTTCTCTGATATGTTCCTCTTCTTTCGTCTATACCCTGCTTTCCCTCCCCTTCCGTCCCTCTAGCCCGAGATATGATGTTCTCAGACTCCTCTTAAGAATTTTACTTCGGTCCTGTTCCTATTATCCGAGTATGGCATCTATTCGTTATTCCTGCGTCCCTCCCTGTCTCCCTCCCCTTCCAATTGTTTGCCTGTCATTTACTCCTCCGGGAATAATAATGGCTCCTTCTTACTCCTTTCCGTTCTTTAGATTCATTTTCCCGTTGTCGTTATACTATAGACGAAGCTATTTTTCGTCCTGTTTTATACTCATTCTGGATTCCCCCCTGCTGCCTCAGTCTCTCTTCCCTTCTTCCTCCTCACCCTGTCGTGTTTCGTATTATTACGCCACGCACTACTCCTTGTTGCCGCTCATACTTAACAGATACTATTCCAGGCTTCCTTTATTTTGTCCCTAGGTGGTTCTTTCCACATATATTCGCGTAAATTGAAGCACGAGTTGGCCCTCATGCTCCTTTCTTATATGGGGGCAGTGCTTAAAATCTATGCATCGTATTAGTTGCTTCTCTTATTCTTTTCTCTTTCCTTGTCCTGTAAGCTTTCCTGTTGGCCCCGCTTCCGGTTTGGTTCCCTGTTTAGTTGTTCGTCTGATACGCTGCTTCGAAGTTCTTACTTGCTTCCTGAGATCACATTCTTACACTCCCCACAGGTAGGCGGCCACTGTTCAGTCCTAACCCAGTCCTTTCCAGGGATTTGTATATGGATTCTTAATATTTGTTCATCTCCTGGGTCCCAATGGGAACACCGAGTCTTAAGCCAGATACTCCCTCTTTTGGCCCCTCCTTGTGAGTGCCACCCTTGAATAATA